TCCCCGGACTTAATTTAAAATTTTCAGTATTTGCACTTAAGATGAAACTTAAATGTCTAGATAAGACTGTCACAAAAAGGTATCTTTCTTCTCTTCCTTCTCACCAGAACTCGAACACATTGGATTTCGCGTCCAGACGCTCTAACCGCCAAACTGAACCGCGCAAAAATTGACGTTTTATCTACTTTGCTTTATATTGTATTTGTAGTAATGCTTGGCGTGTTGTAAATTACATTTTTACAATTATTTGATAGTGAAATGATTATGTTTACATTGGTTTCGGTTTTGCTCCCACGTGGACCTATATTCCTTTCATTGGTACTGCACCTTGGTTATTGTTATCTTGTCCAGAGACACACTCCTGAAAATAAAGTAGAAAATGTGAGCGAGGTATTTTAAGTTGTTTTTTTTTTTTTTCATAAAATGTACTTTTTTATGCATGAAAAGTTGTCAAGCAAGCAGGCGCTGGATAAGTGGATCGCCGCGAAAGGACAAGACACCTTTAAATAATTGGGCCCCGGTTACCTCACTCACCAAATGAAACACGAAAGTCTAGTAACGAGGCCATGGTACTTCCCCGGACGAGCGTGCCCATTTGTGCAACAGCAGAAGCTGTTGCGGGGCAGTACCACAATAAAGATGTTATTTTTTTTTTTTTTTGAAAAACATCGCCCTTCCTTAAGGATAACATTATCCTGTGTTGTAAGGACGTTTTACAAACATCAATTTCACGTGAACACCCAGATGCGAAATAACTAACTGTGGGTCACACAAATAGTTGTCCCCTGTGGGAATCGAACCCATGACCCCCGATGCCGAAGCCGATACCTTGGCGACTGCGGTGACATATCTAATTGTAATAATAACCTTGTCGGTCATTCGTAGTTCTCGAATACAAATGAACAAACTGACCCTAGAATATATTTGAGTCAGCTACGTAGCTGTGAGTTGGTTTTGCGAGGAAATCATATTGCACTCAACGGCCTACCATTGACCCGGCTCCTAAACGGCTTTATTTGAGATCTCGCCATTGGAAACTCGCAGAAAAACTCATAGCTCATATCAATGGCTGCTTACAAATGACGTTGCGCTCGAAATTTGAATAGGGGTGGCATCGAGAAGGGAGCGATAGGGATTCGCTACGCCTCTTGAGAACGTCGATGGAATAATTTGTTTTTCCAATTTACATAACCAGAAAAACATGCGAAGTGAAATATTATATTAAATGCTCATCTCAATATAATAATAATATCATAATAGTTGTTCATCTGCGAAAAACGTTTCCAATATCCAATACCCTTCTTCAAGAAATGGCCTATCAATTTTAAATATAATTTTTCAAATCTGATTAGCGCGTTCAAATAAATAAACATAATCAATTCTCCAGATGAATTGTATTATAGGTATAGAAATCAAATCACAATAATAGCTCTCTATGCGAAACTCACAATTGTGAAACTAAACTGTAGAAGTAAATTAATATGAAGTCATCTGTTGAGAACTATATGAAGGTGAAATATTTCTAGACAAATTGAACATCTTTTACCGTAAATCCTAACACAATTCGATTTCATATTATACTCTGTCAGAGCTAGAGACACCATTGGAAAGACGGTAGATTCTACTAAGGGATTTACTCAGACATAATTTAAAAATGTTGCCTCTGCGGAGGTGTATGAATACTCTACACGTAACACAGTACGCATCTCGACTGAGAAGTACATATTATTAATAAGGTTTGAATTATAATAATCATATTACATCATAAAACCGAATGTTAACTTTTCAGTTTATAGCTCAATATCTTTAACAAATTAAATAAGTTTATTTGTGATAAAAGTAATCATGAGTATGAGTTATTTGTTTACACTTGAGAATTTTATCTATTAAAGATTGTATAGATTTTCAGTAGTATTTAGGCCATTGATAAGATTAATTTTAGGTTAGTCGGTGTGCGCGCGCATCATGCAATTAATCTGTCATATTTTTACCAAACGCGCCAAAAGAAGCGTAACTTCAAAATAGTATATAATGAAAAAAAAATCTACTACTTTGATTTTATCCGTTATTTTGCTTCTACCGGACGAAACATGTAGAAATGTCCATACCCGCTGTTTGCTTTAATCCCACTTAATACAAATATGATGTACCTTTTAATAAAAAGAGGAACAGTTAATAGTTAGAAATGGTTATATTTTTAATTTTAAAGGCCACTTATAACTTTAAAAAACTTTACCTTATACGTTATAAAACTAACACAAAGGAGAGGCAGTTTTCGTATTATCAATATAGGTTTTGGTATTTTATGAGCTTATTACGTAAATGCATACTAAATTGCAAAAATACTATAATGCTTTGGGGTTTAAATATACAAATACATATTATTCTAACGTAAATTGAATATTTCCTTTCGTATAGTATCAAAATTCGATTTCGTATCATGCTCGTAGTTCGCAACGCCGCTTAGTAGTCGATAAATCTCAATAGAGGATTTAGTCAAAGCCCAAGCGTCGAGACTGGTACAATATGTAAGATATCCAGAGCATACTAAATTATCAATAAGTTCTTCTTCTTTTCGGTGAAACGTGTCAAATGAGCACACGCACAAAGTGATTATTATAAAAGCTTGGTGTCCGTGTGATATATGAATGTAAAAAAAGATCAAAAAATCTAAAAGATCGATGCCTCAGAAGAAGAAGAAGAAGAAGAAATTCAGAAGTTTTTAGTCAATCTAAACTTAAATAAAGCATAGAATAAAGCGGCCAATATACGTGGTCGTATATATAACAAAATACAGCCTTAATGTAGATCGGTGGATAAGGTAACAACATCTTTTTATAGAGATGAGTATAATAGAATAGTAGTAGTTGTAAATATTGTTATCTATACAACAAAACACATAAAACAAAACTATTTTATCGCATTTGAAATGCCCGACGTTTCAAACACTTTTCACTGTTCATTGTTACGAGACAGACTGGGATCTCCCACTTCCTAACATGATATTTAGCCCGCGCTACTGTTATTTAATAAGTGAGTAGCGACCCGCCCCGGCTTCGCACGGGTAATTGTAAAGTAATGTATTATACTCGTACATATTAACCTTCCTCTTAAATCACTCTATCTCGTAAAAAAACCGCATCAAAATCCGTTACGTAGTTTTAAAGATCCAAGCATACATAGACAGACAGACAGCGGGACGAATTTGTTTTATACAGAAGATGACTGATGAACTGTGACTTGCATCAGAGGATTTGCATTAGTCTAATAGTATTTTTCTAGTGTCTGGGTGTTTATTTCTCAATAATATGGATTTATTTTAAAAAAGAGTATGTTTAAAGTAAGTTTATCAGTTTCTTATGCCCAGTTTCCGAAAGGCCAATCAAAGCAGCAATCACCTAACACTATGTCAAAAATGATCAGCAGTTAATCGCTTGTTAAACTGCCTTGGGTTTCTGGAAGGTTTCTTCAAGAAAAATTAACTAATCACTCTATAACCAATGATAATGAATGAAATGAATGATTTACTTCAACTAACTCTTTCTATTGTATAGCTCTCCCTTTTTAAACAAAACTTAAATTAATGTCACTATCCAGTCCTGTCACCGTGTGATTGCCAACGTAAAAATCCGAGCTATAATAAAATTTTATTTATATAAATACATGCAAAAATCAAGAAAAAACTTTACAGAACATGAAAAATATGAAATTTTATCCATAACAAACAAGTAAGTATTATAAAAAGAAAGAATCCCTATTATTTTTTAACTTTTGAATTGCATTTTGTATTTTTTCTAATCGCATGATATGTTCGCATAATAATAAATAATAAGTAGGTAATAGAACACATGAAATTCCTTACAACGTATTAGGGAATTGTTTATTTTTAATAAAAACTAAGATTTTTGATAAAATACATATTTAACCAACGATTGATCGTCCAAATTGACAGATTACTTAATAAAACTTTTGACGCTCGTTTACCACCAAAAAACGCTTTCAGAAACTCGATTTTCTGTTGATTGTCCGTTAATCAGTGATTAATTGCAAATCAAAATCAATGTTGTTTTCAGACGTTCTTGCAACTCAGATCATGTTAAACAACGATTGAAAAGAGATTTATCGTTAAATTGATTGCGCTTTCGGAAACTGGGTGTTAGTATCCACAGTAGAAGCTTTGCTTAGTTTTGGACCCGATAATGTTGTTTCAACAGGTCTTGAGAAATTTACTTATGGGAGCCCATAAGTAAATTTCTCAGGACATATTGAAACAACATTACAATTAACAGGAGCTGATGATAACAACTCAGTTTGCCTCACGACCCGTGACCACGAACGCTAGTAAGGGTGCGAAATGTCGGGAAATTAAAATCAAATTATAACGCGACATAATCCGATAAAATTTATAACATTCGTCCAATGCAAGAAAAATCAATAATTTTCACAAGATTTGTGACCATTAAAACTTTTAGAATGTATATTAGAGGAGTCGTGAATCGACTCTTACATTTAAAATATTATATATTTCTTTATCTTTTTTTCTATATCGTATTTTGCAATTAGTTGCATATAGTAATATTTTATTTCCTTTTCTGTCTACACACTACTTTCCGGGCAGTACCTACACAAAATCCCGAAATTTGTACATTTTATAAAATCTTATTTCTTTGTATGAAATAAAACGTTTATTACTAAATATAAATTCATATTTTGGCATATGGTGTAAGCTATTATTCAGCATTGAAAAATGATAACGAGACGTTTTCTTTAATATTCTATGAATAAAAAAAAGGTCTTTCATAAAAAAACCAAAATGAATACTGGTAACAATTTAATATTTAAACAAAAAATTTCATCACAATTCCATACAATAAATAAATCAACTACAACATGAAGACAGTTGAAAATGACTTAAAATTAGTTAACAATATTTACAAGGCACAGGCAAACAAACATACGGACGCATGTATACTGATTCAAACATATTCATCAAGGCCTTAGTAATGATGATGACCTTTATGATGAATTGTCTTATATACGGGGATCTTCACGGGGTATGGCTGGGGTACGTGGACTGTTACAGTTTTCTCGACTCTGATTGGAACATGCTTCTCCACTGGGTAAGGTACGTGCTTCACTACTGGGTACGGCACAACCTTCTCGATTGGAATCGATATTTCGGTCTCGACGGGTACGGCCACTGGTTTGTTGACTGGAACCTTGACGGGGTACGGCTGAGGCACTCCTACAAGGATGGGCTTCGGTACGTTCACGTGGATCGGCTTGTGGATTGGTACGGTGACGTGCTTGTACAGAGGCACTGCGACTGGGTGCTCTTCGTCTGTGTGCTCACCCACGGCGAACGATTGGGTATGGCCATCGAAGCCGGATCCCAAACCGTGGCCATCGTCACCATATTCGTGGCCGCCGTCCTGCAGGATGAAGCCCTGTTCACCTCCGTGGCCGGCTTGGCCTCCGTAACCGCCCAGGTTGCCTTCGTGGCCGCCTCCGCTGCCACCGAAACTATGTCCGATCTCACCGCCGTTGCCGCTCAAGCTGCCGTGGGAAACTAACTGGCCAATGTGACCACCGTATCCGTTATCACCAAAGCCGCCTCCATGGCCTTCCAGACCAGACAGCGCGGCCTCGTGCCCCGAGCTGCCCAGGTCGTGGGCGGCTTGTAGGTAGGAATCGCCCCCGAAGGACCCACCCCCGTGGCCGCCCAGGTTGAAACCCTGTCCGGCATCGTGGCCCCCTGAGAAGTCGTGGCCTGACCCTTGAGTCAAAGCCAGGGTAACATCCTGCCCACCATGCCCGCCAGAGATATCTTGTCCTCCCCCGCTTATGGGCACGAAACCTTCCTGGCCCCCACCGTAACCATGGTCACCTCCGCCGCCGCTCGGCAGTCCGTGTGTTTCATACCCGGCCTCGCACGACGCAATTGCTAGCGCCAACATGCACACCTGAAAGGATAAGAGAACAATGTTGTAAATGGTTATTTTACGTTATCATCACCGTTAAAAAGAAGTAAGTTCATAGACTTTGATATCATACACAAGTGACATGTTTAAATTAAACTTGTTGAAGTCCAGAGATATAAGCAACTGATACTCGGTGACTGTAGAAAGAAAACTATTAAAATTAGATAACATCAATCATAACTTAACTTATAAACGTGCGATTTCAATGCAAAGTGTGAACAGTCATAAAAGTCTAGACGTTTAACTGGCTGCTGTTAGGTAACCGTTAATATTACGCCGTTGCCCGCCAAAAAAAACAAAACGTGAATCAAAGAGCGTTCACTCGCGCGTACCTTTCACTCTGCAATCGTTCATGGAATTTTTTACAATAGCATCGAATCATAGTCATGAATTGTTTTGAGTAACTGGCCGTGAACGGCCGATAAAATAATTCGACAGAATTTAACAATGGTATGTAATACTAGATCGGCCATTATACTCGATACTCGATAAAATAAACTCGCTCGGGACTGTTTATTTTACTACCAGACAAGAAGTGAGCAATTGTTTTTGGGATCAGTGTTTTTCAAATTACGAATGCAAAAACATTATGACAGATACAAAGAAATTATAATACATAAACGAACGGATATTATTACAAAATAATGAAATTATTACTCGCATAACATATTTATATTTACTGAGTTAGATGCGTTCTTGGTCGGTTAAAAGAACTTTTAACCGGTTTATTCTCGAAGACAAAAACTGCTGGTAAAGATTTAGGGTAAATTAATTAAGGGTATATAGTTATACCTATATGCGTACTCCTTGTACATAATGTTATATTATTCAGAATGTTAATTTTATATTTGTTACAATTGAGTTGACCCCATAGACATCTTAACAAATTTAATTTTATTAATTTATCTTCGATGTTTAACATGTAGGTATCTGACGATAATAAATTAATAGATCAACTTATATTAAAAGCGATATATATCCGATTAAAAAAAAACTTCTTATTTACATAAACCATAAATATAAAATATTAAGATATTAAAATATAACCCGTCAGTTAAGCCAATGACTGCGAAAACGAATTTAGTATTATATATATATAGCAACTAAAAAGAAAATATAAACTTCTAGACGCTTGCAGCGTGAAAGACTAGTTTAATATATCACAGTTTAAAGATTAATCGTTTCACTTGTGTTCAATTTATTAGTATACCATATCGTTGTCTGAAAAGTTGAATTTAATATAAAAGTCATTGAATGTCGTGACTGGTGTGAACATAGTAGGACGATCACACATATGTCGCAACTTGAAAATTGAATGATGCCGCTTATTTTCATTCCTCGAAGCATAAATAAGGCTATTTATTATATTAACAAGATCTTAAACAGCAGCTTTTAAATTAATAAAATCATAATCTCTTTATAAACACTGGTTTACTGAAAAAGATATCCTTGTAAGTTATTCAAAGTATGTATACTACATAATTTGACTAACTTATATAAAAAGTTAAATAGTATTAAACAAAAGAATCATATCAATTCTTTTGTTTAATACTATATACCTACGTACCTTTTTGTTTGTTACGACACCAAATTTATTGATCTGTGCTTTTTGTATAATTAGTTAGCACCACAATTTTTAATGCATAATACGAAATCTATAAAATACCCGTATAGTTGTGCAACCTGAAGAGTGGTACTGTATTTGAATTATTTTAATTTTAAATATTACTAGCGTATTGGCGACATAAATAGAATTCATTTATCACCTATTGGATTGTCCTGAACGTTTCTATGGAAACGTAAATTTTAATTAGAATATTTATTCATTTTTTTTCTTTACACATCGATTGTGAGCTTTACATTTATAAAACGAAAACTTTAAAAGTGATAGTAAAAAATCTCATGAACGTGCAACATCAAATATGTACACATACAAAAAACAAGAGCAGAGGCAAAAATCGAAAGTAAATGACAGTCCGAGCGGAAAGTTTCCGACCGCGACGAAGCCGCGGGCGGGCTGGTCTGAATTTTCGACGAGAGTGAACGTCCCTTTTACTCGATACTCGCTACTGTCACAACCGGTTCCCAAGTGAACAGTCCGCAGTTTAGCTCACCCGACATAGAGAGTTATATCCTATCGATTATTATCTATCCGGAAACAATTTCACATTCTCGCAGTTATATACGATAGTCATTGAACGAGGTATTTTGAACTGTAACCAATCTAAATGATGTAACTGAGCAAAGCAATCTTAATCGTCTAAGTAGTGAGTATTTACTTATAATTAAGTGTAAGGAAAACTGTAAAATCTTGTGATAATAATATTTGCACGCGGTTCCCGTGATGTTAAATGATTACTGTCGCTCGTGGAGAACAAATCTTTTGTTGTGTCAGATCCGTTACCATCTTTCAAAGAACTGGGCTCCACTAAACACTATCAACAAATGAGACGCAAAAGCATAACTACAACACTGCAACACTTCTTACAACAGATTATACAACATAACATATTCTTGCAACAGCATAAGCTACCGTTTTATCCTACCACACCTATTTATCGTTTGGAATCCTAATGATAACAATCAATAAGTAATTCGTATTTCATAAAAACTATTTCACACTCTAGAACTGTTTAACTGTTTGGAAAAGAATAAACTGTGTGAAAAGAGCCTTTGAAAGCCTGTGTGAAAAGAGCATACCTACGATTTTGATATTAATTTACGTAACCTGTCAAAAGTTTTATGTTGCAATTAAAAAATAAAAAGTCAAATCAAAACTTAGTTACAAACGATTGTTCCTGAGATTCAAATGAAATTTTCTTTAAATTTTGTAATAAAAAAATATATTTAAATGTTGCACCTAATACAAGTTGAATGTCACTCTTGACTTATATTAATTCCCCACTTAAAAAAATAGGTCTAAATTAAATTGTAATGTAAACACAAGGTAAAAATGTTTTTGCGAAAATCCGGCTTCATTTAACATAATAAATAAACCTTCTCTTAATGCTTAATGATGTCTCATATTTACGGGCCTATCGATTTTTTTTTCTAACTACATTTTTTGAATAATATTAAAAAAAAATTTAGAGACACCGCAAAATCTAAGAAAGAACAGAAACTAATTAAGGTCGAAACGATTAATTCCTTTATGGTATTGTTAAAAAATAAAATCGAATTTAATGCTACATAAAAAGATTAAAATTTGATTATTTAAATATTAGAAGTAAGATAAGCACTACCATTGACCTACAATAAAGAACATTTGTCTATGATATGTTTACAAGAATATATGGTAAAAATTTAACCAAAACAACGCAAGATAAGTAATGTGCGTGTTATTAAAAAAAATAAAATAATTAATGTCACTCAAGGGTAACAGCGGAACACGGACAAAGAAACAGGAAAACCACGTTATGAAATTGAATTTTTAACACCAACTACTCGTAAATATATCGACACGTCTAAGCGTGCCCATCCCTTGGTTGTCGTTGGGAGCAATCTATGAAATATGAGACTTAATTTGCGCATGAGTGATTCTTCAGTCGGGCGTCGGAAATCGCATTATCGTACTGAAAGAGCTCGAGATGGGGTTTTTGCCGGCGCCGTCGTTACCCGAACGTAATAATATATTGAGTATCGTTTCTGCTTAGTACCTTGAGGACGCCTATTGTATTAAAATTTGTAGATAAAAGCTCTCGCTGGCTTAAAAAGTACACAGTAAAATGTGCTTGGTAAAAAAAAAATAAACTAGATAATACCAGTATGTGATTGTTGTGCTTTATTTAAAACAATTGAATATTTATTTTTCATCTTTGTCGGTTATCCCTTTTGGTGGGGTCGGAATAATATTTGAATCATGTTGTAGAAGTTATTAGCTTTGTTTTTGCAACCGGCCCCCTATCTGGGGTCAACCCTACTTGGGAAAAGACCCAGATGCGGAATAATTGTCTGTGCGTCACACATATACAAACTTGTCCCCGTCTGGTAATCGAACCTACGATCGCATGCGCCGATGCCTTGCCTTGCGAGGACGAATCATCATTTAATATACAAAAAATAAATTTCGTAATTTCTGAAAACTGTCTTCGAAACTGATGAACGTGTGTCGTTTGAAATCATGAATTTTATTTTATATATATTCGATTAAAGTCAACATTTACTTAGAAACTGCCCCCAAGCTCCAGTCATGCAACGCTTATATTACTTTAAACTTTACCAAACTAACTTTACAAAAATAGCATGAATATTTACATTCTGAAAACCTAACATTTAATATTGCATAAGTCCAACAAAATCATTATTTGAAATTCATACGAAACATATCGCGGCACTACATTTAATAGTTTTGTATTTTTAAGTAAGATGTAAGCGAAATGTTGGGTTTGGATTATCCTATTATATACATTTTTAATTAAACTTGTTGGTATTTGCCCTAATACGTGAAGTTATGCAGTTGAATATAGGAAATGTCGCTTGAAATGAGCATTCGACGTGTCATTAATTATGTAATACGTCCGGCTCAGCTTTAAGCCTTAGCGAATAATTGCTGTAGCACTTATAGTCGAGATTAGTTTCTGCAATAACGCAACATATTCACCTAACGTTAACTCTTACCGCTACCGAATCTACAGTATCATTGCAAATAAAAGATAATTTCTTGCCATAAATTTATACGAGCCTTTTTTCTTATTTTTGACGATAGACGTTTAAATAAATCCGGAGATCCGTATAAGGGTCAGCTCTACATAACATACATTGATTTGTTAATTAGTTTGAATTATTTATTGCATGGCACTTAAAAAAATGTAAAGTAACAGCCTATACATATCCCAGTGCTGGGCAAAGGCCTCCTCTGTACATAGGGTATTTATTAGGCCATGGTCTACCACGCAGCCCCATTGCGGATTGGGCTTAATCTCCGAAATATTTTCACTTATATTAAATACAAAATCAAACTACAGAGCTACTAGAGCTTGACGACTTGATCACAAAAATGACATCGATTTAAACGGCGGATTTGTTTGGTTTTATATTCTACCTGGTCATGGTTCAATTGAAACATAATCGATTTACGGTTCAATCAATGGCATGTTTCTGACATAATCAAATTAATGCGAAAAACAGAAAACGTTAGCAAAAAAAAATTTGGTGAACTATAAAATGTTGCCTTTTTTATTTTCAAACTAGCGACCCGCCCAGGCTTCACACGGGTTAATTGTATTTCTATATTAAAATAGTTTAATATATTATACATATAAACCTTCCTCTTGAATCACTCAATCTAGTTAAAAAAACGCATCAAGATCCGTTGCGTAGTTTTAAAGATCTAAGCATGCATAGGGACAGACAGACAGTGGGACGACTTTGTTTTATACTATGTAGTGATGGATAAAAAAAACCTACACAAATATGCAAGTTTGAATGAAAAGAAAACATTACACAGTTGTACAGAGACGGAGACTAGAGGTGGTTAAAGAGGAAACTCGATAAAAACTTTTCAAAATAAAGGTAACAACTATTATAGTAAAAATTAAACTGGAAAACAAATCGGCAGCAAACGATAACAAATAATCGAATGTACCTGTTATCTAACAATGTATGTCTAACAAAAGTATTACATGACGATTAATGGATTTCACGTTTTGAGACTAAATGGACATTTCAGAATGAATAGGTTTTACTAAGTTTATGCGTTTACCAAATACCGCAATATTCCTTCTGAGCTTTACGTTTGATCGATATATCTTCTTCTACCTAGCATTCATCCCAGCTATTGCCACACAAATATATAAACAAATAAAATAAATAATGATTGTTTTTGAATTCCCACAATTCTAAGAGGGCAGTCAGCAAATTTAACAGTCAATAACTAAATGTCACCAAATTCATAGAACATGAGAAACTATAATCCATTAATGAATAATTAAAAGTTCTTACTAACAATCAAGTTCACTTTTCACTATAATATCAGTGGCGCAGTTGCTAAGCTAATAGGCTTCGGCTGCTGTGGTCGTGGGTTTGATTCCCACACGGTACAAATAGTTGTTTGAACCACATTGCTCATTTCCGCATCAGCCAGTTCGACGTTAGACAGGCAGCCTGTCTAGAAAAATCTAGCCAATATCATTAACAACATAATTCACATGTTGTTTCGATCCCACCTAGGTTCACAATAATACGCACACACTGCACTTTTACATCGGAAGGAAAATAATTACTAATTTTAAAATTTTAAAATTATAATGGAAGGAAAATAATTACTAATATTTAAATTTTAAAGTTAAGAATGCTTCCGTATATCGTAGTTAACTTTTATATATTATGTTCGAATATATGAAAGGTCACTTACAAAAGTCTTCATGTCGTTAAGGCTTGGGTTTGCGGGTAGGACACCACGCTGTTGACAGCAATGCAATGATGCCTCTGCTCAGGTGCACTATCATTTTATAGTGACCGGAAGAGATTGTCGCTGTAAGGAGGAAGACGCGAAAGGCTTGCTTTTCGAACATCTATAGAGCGGTTGCAACATTAGATGGGATGCTTTTTTTTGCTAATTTTGCTCAGCTTTGTTCACAATTCAATATGTGTCGATATATTATTAGACTCAATATTATTTCATCAACCGTTTCAATTTAAATTCGATCAATACCAAGCTCCGAAAATACGAAAGTTTACAAACGAAACCTAGCTTACGTAGAAATATTATGTTTTAATGTTATGTAAAATCGATATATTCCATATAGTATGTTCATTATGACCATTAAAATATATTAATGTTTACGTAAATAACGTAAATTTTAATAATTTAAATGTAGTACTTACGTTACTGTTGTTTTTATTCTGCCCAATTTCTTATTTGACATTTTTATTTACCTAAGAAATATTAATCGTATTTTTGGAGTAAACAAGCTTTTTTAAAGCTGCTACCTTAATATAAATTAGCTATTAGCCATAACTAAATAGGTCACCTGTATGTGAGTATTCGGAAGGAGACGACTGATAGGCGATATAGAGCATAGCTAGTCTATGAATAAAAAGCCTTAAAATTCTTACTTAGATTTGATATAAAAAGATTTAGAATTTGTTGAAATATTTTTAGGGAACTGCGGGATTCCAATACGCGTTTTGGCTAATATACTGACCTCGCGAAAATCGCGATATATCTAGTTGAGTATTACTTCTTGTGGCGCTTTTGAAAAACTTATGAGAGAAAGAGATAGAATTTTTACCATTTCGCCCACACACCGATCCTCAAAAAGTGGGGAAAAAAATCAAAAACAACTTTTTGACATTTATCAATAATTCCAAGTTATTTAAATAATCCATTAGTATCAAATGCATTTAATGTCTTTACGCTAAAGAACTATAACTTCTGAGGTGTGTACATAAGTACTTTTTTTTGCATTTGTGCAAAGCTTAGCGCTATCTACTGTGCGTACTTTACAGAATGCGGAACAGTTAAAATAAAATTTTTGCAGAAAAATTTGAATCATGGTATCTAATTAAAACATCCGCGCTTAACTGTTGCAGCTCCCTAGTTGTCTTAATTATGGTAATGTTTTAATAATTTAATAACTGAATGCCAGCAGGTAAGCTCGTGCAGTGCGGCAAGTACGATTACTTTTGATGAAATATGTATATATAGGTAATATATAGGCATGTGAATGAAGGTACTCATTCATATAAAAAATAAAAGATAAGACTTATATAAATCGAATACTCTATGCAAAAGCTCTTGAGGAAGTCACAAATACCATATTAATTTACCAGACTTTACAAGAAGATAAATAATTATTTGGTAAATAAATGTATTTTCTTTCTTTTTCTACGCAACGGTGTAAGCAATCTTTTTTTTTATGTGAAAAGTTGCCAAGCGAGCAGACGGTTAACCTGATGTTAAATGAATACCGCCGTCCATGGACATCTGCTACACCCGAGGGTTCCAGATGCGTTGACTTTTAAAAATAGGGCTCCGGCTACCTCACTCACCAGACGAAACGCAAAGCATTATACTTCCACTTTACGCCAGTCTTCTGTGAGGTCGTGGTACTTACCCGGACGAGCCAGCCCATTCGTGCAACAGCCGAGGCTGCTGCGTGGCCATACAACCGTCAAACTATCTATTACAAACCTATTGAAAACATCGTGATCGCGTTCACGGCTGTTTCTTAAACTTCTTTTATGATAATTTTTACCCCAAAAGAGCAGCAACAAAGCTTATATTAACGTCTAATTTTCTCTTTCTTCAATAATTAAAAAAAAATCTCATTTAAATATATGAAAATCTGCCCAAAGGAAAAAGGGATCTTGGTCTTCGTCATACGTCTACTTTTAAAAACAGTATCAAAATACTTGTATGAATTCATTGTCTCACTACAAATCACTTATGTGTTTTAACATGTTGTCAAGAGTAATGCAAAATATTTTAAATCTTACACTGACTGCATTTAAGTCAAAAAAATTTATCATTAGCAAAAGGTCAATCGATTAAATCAATTGTCAAAATCTTTTTAATGTCTTATATTTCCTAAAATAGCGTCAGATTGGGAATGTTTTCTAACTCCAATGGGGTTGTCAAATGTTTATGTTTATTTTTAACTTGTTTTTGGTCGAACGTTACACATATAACTAATGTATTAACTAAGCCATTGATAAGTCTACACGTAGGTAATTCGTTGCGTGTAAAGCAAACTCGTGCGGAGGAGAGAGGAATTACTTAACAATTGTATCATATCCGTCCGCCCGTCACTTTCATCTTTCTAATAAGTTGGCACTTATGAAGTGGTTATTTCTGAGTGTTTTTTTTTTATTTGAAGTTTTCGAGCGAGCTGGTGGTTGTTCACCAGATGTTAAGTGATAACATCCGCCCATGGACACCTGCAACAAACGATGGTTTGTAGATGTGTTGACAACCTTAAAACGTGGGTTCCGGTTAATTCACTCACCGGACGAAACGCGAAAGTAAAATACTTCGACTTCACGCTGGTCTCCTTTGAGATCATGGTACTGCCCTGGACGATCCTGCCCATTCGTGCATCAGCAGAAGCTATTGTGTGGCCCTACCACAGATAAAAATAAACAGTTTTAAAATAATATTTTCTCATTAGAATCAATGCCGCCACCTGTATGTAATAGAAATTGTAACAATTTTGGTTGTTAACTAACTTTTTATATTCATTTAAATAATTGCCTTAATTTTTTGTTCTTTCTTTAAAATTTCTTTGATTTTTAAATAGGTTAAGGCGATGAAACGTTTACATTTGCATGTATAAATTGCTTTTAAAACAATTCACAGTTAAATAATTGGAAATAAAATAAATAGTGTATTAAAATAATTCTTATGTTACTTTTTGTATAAACTTTTGTCTTGTTGTAACCATTGCCTAATTGCATTTGCCTTCCAGACGTATTCGTATTGGGACCAGTTTCTGGGTAGAACATCTTATTTATCGGGACTCGTTCGCATCGGCGCGTTGTGAGGTCGATGTCATCGTTAAATTCATAGTTCATATTTACTAAAGCGCCATCCGGTAGCAATTTATAGAAATCACATAAGCCTGGCCGAGAGAACCCGTTCCTATTTTATATGATATTTTTTTTTATTTTAGAACACTAATGAACGTTAAATTGAGCGCGGGTTCAAAAATCTGAACATTTTTAAAGAAAAAACGACAACGAGTATGAATAAATTGTTTTTTTTTTAAATCTTTTCTGCACAAGTGCTAAGTTTCTAATCCCAAAACATCTTGACTTGATAATTTTTTGTCCAGTTACTATAATTATTAAATGCTCATACACGTACTTGCTAATTGGTCGTAATTCGACCGAAATTCATAAAATTTTACATTCCAGCAGTAAATTATTTTTCTCGGAGTAATTCAGTCAAACTGGCATTGTAAAATTATTTGGTAACAAAATTTTATTCTGTGCATGTGTTTGACAACTGTGAACCGTACTGTACAAATTCTCTATAAACAACAGATTGTTAAGTGTTTGACAGCATAAATTTAAGTAAAGAATGTTTTATTGTATGTTATTTTATGTATATTGCAGTGGACGCATTGATGGCTCGGTAGAGACAATTGGGCTTCGGTTCCGGCGTCCTGATTTCGATTTCCACATGGTATTAGTATTTGTGCGAAACACGGATAATTGTTTTTATTATTTTTTACTTTACTGGGTGTTTGTTCCCAAGGCTCCCAAAACACAGTCAAAACATGATTCACAAGTTACACCAACCCCACCTAGAATATAAAGGCGAGAGGAAGAAGACTGTATATGTTATTTCCCAAAAGTATTTACAAATTCAGCTATGAATAATTCAAACGTATTTCTCCTCGAGACCAACTAATAAATTACTGTAAAATTACTTTCACATCTTTACCACGAGAAATTATGTCTCAGGGAAAATTTGCCTTCTCGTCCCACAAATAAATTATAATTTCAATTAATACGCGTTTCCAAATTTGCGAATTGTTTTATCACTACAATTTGAAGCAGACTACAATTTAAAGCTGCTTGTAAGCTTATTGTCCATTTTTTTATATATTTAAAGTGACTTTGTTTACTTTTTACAAATCGCCAGTGCCCTTAGCAAATTCAAAAAGCAGTTGAAGATGGGTGACTGTTCTTTGAATAGGTGAGCAGATCTCACAACAATTACGTGATGTTATCAGAACCCGACAAAATTTACATTACTTATATTGTACGACGATGAGAATAACCTAATTGTTACCCACTAAATATCCCAACCTGTACTTGTCTCTGTCACTTCGTTCAAGGATACGCTAACAAAAAAAACGCTATCTTCCGCAACCCATATGCTACTATTTCTAAGAAATCTTTGGAATACATGTAAATTTTTGCAATCCTTATTTTGGTCGCCTGTGCGTCTCTTTACAGAGGGGCCTTTTACATGTATGCATGGCCAGCAATTACAAAATTAAATCTTAATATAACGTAATCTAATTAAAATAAAACTAATGTGAGGTGTAATTAGGGTCAAAAGATATGAGAAGGTATTTATGATTACACTTACACTCACACGCATACGCACACGCACACGCGCATTCGCACGCGCATGCGCACACACGCACGCACATGAATGTAAGCAAGTGACACATCACTGCACGCACGCATGAAGTACTAGTGACAAACATCATATTTAACATCATCATCATCGACTATTATTAATCAATTGACAGATAGTGTCAGGCGAAGACTATTACAATAAATTTGCAACACTAGTAGGGTTGCAGATGCGTTGCCACCTTTTAATAAAGTGGTCCCCGTCTACCTCACTCACCAGACGAAAGAACGTACCACAGAAGTATAATACTTCCACTTCACGCCGGCGTTCTG